TAAATAAATAAATAGCCTATTTCAGACAGCTGCGCTAGCCTCTTTAGGCGTAGCAAATGCAATTGCCACGGATCTAGCTATCTATTTTAGGCGATTTTTAGCTGATATGATCTAGTATAGCTTTCCTAAAGGGGTTAGACCCTTATTAAAAGTCTATATTTTATCCTTAACTAGCTCTATGCCTTCTAGATAGTTGAAAATAGAAGTGGGGATTCTATAGGCAATGATTTTATACTATATAACATCTTTCTAGATAGTATAGCCTAGTATTAAATGCATCTAGATATCAGATTTAGCAAGTAGGAAGTTAGCTAAGTAAGCCTCTATAGTTATAACTACTAGATTAGCCTAAAGGGACTTAGATACTAAAATCACTATAGGGTCTTTTACTTCTTTGCTAGTAAAAGCTCTATTTAGAGTATTACAAGTAGTAAGAGGCTGAAAATTGTTATTTTAGACTATAGTATCCTTAATTAGGATTACGCGGCAGCTAGTAAGAGGCTTCTTTATAGCTAGCTTTAGTAGTAAGGACTTTTTAGCAGAATTAACTAAAATCCAGTCCGAATCAGGGTTAGCGGACTTGGCTGCAGCTGCATATATCTGATTTTAAGTGGTTTTCGGCTAGGGAGTGGTTTTCGGCTAGGGAGCGATTTTCAGCCCGTTTAAGCAGTCTGAGACGGCTGCGCTAGGCCCTTTCGGGTTAACTTGCAGGCGGGTAGTTAGTTTCGGGGCAATTTGCTAGGCGGTGGCTTCTAGCTTTTAACTAGCGGATTCTATATGCGTGATCTTATTAGCTAAAATAGCTGAAACCTTCTTGATAGAGCCTTTTTTAAGGTATTTATAGAAGATTTTAATTAAATTAAGTATTTAGTCCTATTTTAGGCAGTCTAGTTTAGCAGCTGCAGCTTTAACTAGGAGGTCACATGCCTCTATAATAGCCTTATTTAAAGGTGAATCTATAGTAAACCTTGGATTTTTAGCTGGATTAGGAAGCAGTATAGCTAGCCTCTTCTTTATAGTAAAAGTAAAGGCGTTGCTATAGTAACTATTTTATTATTTATTAACATTTTAGTAGCTACAGCTAGTAGAAGGGGCTGTATATATGAAAATAGACGCGTCTAATGCAACTTTTAGCCAGTTGCCGTCCTATGCTAGGCCTTCTAGTTTATCTATACTAAATAATATATTATATGTGGTATCTATTACTATATTATTATCTTCTACCGCTATAGACCGCAGGAGTAGAAGGGCGGGGGGTAAGGAGGAGAGGGAGGGAGGCAGTTAGGAGGCCTTTAGGGTTAAAAACCTTTTAGATAACCCGCATTTACTTATTTTCCTAGTAAGAACTATAAGGGTAGGTTTAAAAGGAAGCTGAGATCAAGGCGGTCAATATACTAGCGCGATCGTTCGATTTGGACGGTTATAGCAAAAGTTATAGGTGAATTCGTGAAATCGGAAAAGTTGTTTTAAATTGGCAGAATTTAATAATAACTAAGCATATACTATAGTATACGGCTTAGAAGTCTTACTGCCTACTTCTACTAACTAAATCTATTAATTTTTCCTAATTTTAGCTTAGAATATATAAGAGCGCAATTGCAGTATAAGAAACAGCTATGCTAGCTAACTGTCTTTACTCTCTACCACTTTTCAATTCACTTTTTATTTATTAGTTATACGTTTTTAGGGCTCTAGGGGATTTTTATTATTATAGCGTTATTGCTTTATAGACCTAGTCCGCATTAGGCTTAGTCCTATAGATTCTAACCAGAAACATATTAATATATCTCTTAACTATATCACTAGCCCGCGCTAGCATTAGGCTAGCGCCGTCCTACATAGTCTTAGACTCACATAGGACGTTAATGGAATAAATAAATAAATAAATAAAAAGCGAGTATATATATCCTCGGCTAATTAGTAGATGGCTAGGAAAGGTGGCTGGTAATCGGGTGGCTGACTAAGCGAGAGGCTGGGGCCACGCCGATGTGTCGACGTCACGTGGTATATCATGTGACCAGACCTGTGACATTTATATACTTTATATTTATTCTATAACACGCCGATCTATATAGTCTTTAACTTATATAAGATATAAATAAAATAAATACTTAATTAATTACTTTTATAATTCTAGTTCATATTAAGCTTAGTTTTATAGATTCTAATTAAAAATATAATAACTTATCTTTTTAGATATACTACTATACCGCTTTAGCACTAAGCTAGCGCCGTTATATAGAGTCCTATACTTATATAAGATATAAATAGAATAAATAACCTTAATTTGATATTTACTATTTTGTTTATATATCTAGAATTTATTTATAGACGTCTATTTTATTAAGCTCTATAGACGAGCTTTTTCCCATAGACCAAGCTTATCAAGCTCTGCACTTCCATCATATATATCACGCTCCACAGCTCGTGAATTTACCTGCATACTAGTAAGACCATAGTAGAAATGGTAAAAGGGATAGAGAATTCTTACATGTTCAGACCCAAGTTGGCTTATCTTCTCGACCCCAAGTAGTCTCATGCACGTTTCGGTTTCGGCTTTGAGAACTTCTTAAGCATTAGCTTGAAGTCAAATGTCGCATAGAGAGAAATGCTTACTTTCAAATGTCCTCTGAACCCCCTCGGCGCCACCAGCTCCAAGACCAAACAACGCTGCCCGCCCCACTCCGACAGCCTTGGCACCCAGACACAATGCCTTCACAACGTCTGTCCCTCTTTTGATGCCGCCGTCTACCCAGACCTCGATTCGGCCAAATACTTCAGGGCAGTACTTCCTGATTTCCAACAGCGTGTGCACAGCGGGTGGTGCAGTGTCAAGGGCTCGTCCACCATGGTTGGAAAGAATGATAGCCTTCACTTGAGGCGCATACTGGGCAGCCAAATATGCATCCTCATGTGTTTGAATACCCTTCAACACAATTGGAAGTGAAGTGTGCTTCGCAAGCCACGTAAGAGTGACCTTCCATGTCAGATCGGCAGCAGTTCCCCAAAACAGTTGTTGACCTACTCCTCCGCCCCCAGGCCTCTGGGGCGCATCACCTTTAATTGACGAGGGAATTGGGAGTGAGGCGCCAACATCCGTATACCTTTCATCGTCTTCCCGCTTCCCACCAACCGGGGCATCTAACGTCAAGCAAATGAATTTGAATTTATCTGTCATCTTGTTCATGCGTGCGAGCATGGCCTCACTCTTCTTCCTATCGTTCTGGACATATAACTGCCATCCAAAAATCTGGTCGGGAAGAGATCTCTCGACGATTTGCTCAGGGGTCATGGATGCATTGTTCGAAATGATCTGCAAAGCTCCAAATGAACTGATGCCCTGCGCGATGCCATGCTCGCCGGCAGGGTGCGCTAGCCTAGCCATAGCAGCTGGTGAAACGTATAATGGTATCCCGACTTGGTGTCCAAGCAAGGTGGTAGAGAGATCACATTTGGTACAATCAACAAATACTCGCGGACGTAATAATATCTGCTTGTAGACCTGATTGTTGAAACTCTTGGATATCAAATCATCTGAAGCAGCTGCAAGTTCTTGGAGTCAGTATTGCCTGAAGAGGAACGGGCTCGAGAATGTCTCAAAACCCCTCAGAACAATTAGATATCCCGCAGGTGTCCGAAAAATGAAATAGGATTCTCGGAGAAACTGCGTACAATAGTAATATGCCCAGCATTTTTTTGATATCTGCTTTGTTGCGACCTCTTCTATTTCGTCCAGGTTTAGCAGAGACTGCATGCTTGGCGGGCCTTTATCCTCCAGACCCTTCTCTGCTTCGTCTGCCTTGGGCTTTGGCAATGTAGTGGGGTCGACCTTCCCGAGTTTTGCTTTTGGGTTGAGGTTATCTTCCAACGTCCCCGGCGGATGTATAGGGTCATATTCTTCTGTGGCGTCGCGACCGGCAAGCTTCAGTATGATTGAAGATCCCCCGGGATGGCTAGGGAGAAATTCCGTCACGTCCCAAACATCTCCATATAAGATAACCCAGCAATCATCTGGCTTGTTGTGCGAGACAACTGCATAAAGTTAGCATCTTGCTAGGTAAAAATAGGAGACTTGGCTGGGTCTTGCTCACTATCAGCAGCATCAAATGTCTTGACCATTTTTGAGACGTACGCAAGGGAGTAGCTGGCAAGAAGAGGAAGAGGAAGATGAAGGAGAAAGAGAAAAAAAAAGGGAAGATGGAAGAAACCACCGTGAACGGTCTCGACCGAACTGGATATGAAATAAATATACCTAGGTAGGTCGTCGGGAGGAAAGTGGGGTGGCCGGGGGTTGTGCGGAGAAGAGCCCCACTTTAGATGGGTATGGGTATGGCATGGTAATAGGTCGTCGTCCAATCAACAGCACAGGTTTTTAATGTCGGAGAAACTGCCAACATAACTAAGCAAAAACTACCCCGTAAGGTGCAATAACATGGAGAAAACGAATCGATCTTCTAAATTGTCACTTTAAACCAGGAGCGATAATTCTAGAAGATGTAATTCATTTATACACATAATGCATATAGCACTATATCCATATACTCTCTATTCCCATTAACAATATGCACGAGTGTGTTGCTCAAGATTTTCATAGCATGCTCCATTTGCCCCTGCCCCTGTCCGTACCCGAATATCCTTGCCCGTGCCACATTGATGCCATGCTGTACCCTACTCTGTTCCCGTCAAAAGCCGATTCCTTTCCTTCATCCAGGGCCTCAGAATAGAACAACCAAATGGATATATCCCATGTCCCACGCCATGAACACCGGGCTTCCCTTCGCCACAGATGACCATCCCATTTAGAATCGTATAGAATATAGACAAAAAAGAAACGCTAAAGTGCGAGCAGCAAAAAATTATAAAGATGACTAGATCTTATTTATCGCTAAAGGGTTCATTCCTTCATAATAGAGCGGCTGTGCGTGCGACGTAGTTGAGTCCCAACTATGGCCTTGCGGTGGCTTTGGTGAGCTGAAAGAGCGCGAGGGTGAGTTATATCGAGCTTCACGCCCAAAGTAATCTGGCGTTTCCCGCCCGCTTTTAGCCACTGGCGATAATGGTGTAATGGGCTGAGATATGAGTGGCTCTGGCGTCTTTACATTGTCCCGTTCGTGACCCAGCATCTCGTACGTGCCGGGGTCCTTGAATTGTCCAACATCCGCGCTAATGAATTCAGTTTTGTATGGCTTCACCGTGCCCCGAACCATTTCCCACCAGCCTACGAACATCGAGAAGCGGCCAAGGAGGAATAGACACCAAATACCATTCAGCTAGCTCCCAGTTAGCATATCTGGAGATACCGAGAGAAGTAGAAACCTACCGACAATAATACAAGTACGGACATGACGGTAGCTTCGTTGACAACCAAGGATTTCGCAAAAGGTAGACAGGCAATTTTGTCTCCGTTTGTCTTTATTAGACACTCAATCCAATCTATTGATTTCGTGGGACTTTTGATGACATCGACCTCGATATCATCCATGAAAACAAAGACTACGGCGAAGAAGATGACATCGGCAATGATTAGGATAACGATTGCAATACCTCTCCATTGTAGTTCAATGACCCTTCGGACCCGTCGATATGCTTGCCTTGGCGATATAGTTTCTCGAGCACTATTGTTGTAGGATGGTAATCCAGAGCTACTGGTGGTATTTGAGTCGTCGGCAAGGGATGCTACGTAGACTTTGATGCAATAGCCAAAAGTCGCAAACTGAATGATGACCGTAACCCCCGCAAATACCAGGAGCGGAATCCATAAGGTAGCCAGACTATGCCTGTGGTTGATGTGGCATGTTTCTCCAAATCTGAAAGAGACGCCGCTGAATACCAAGGAAAAAGTCAACCCTAGAGATCTCGGAGTCAGTATCTCCCAACATCGGCTTTTTGTGGTCATGAGATAATCCTCAAGGGAGCTCAGACAATGTCTTGAGAGCAGTACATCCAGAGAACAAACTGCTCTTGAAGCGAACGTCTGAAGCAGGGAAATTTCTCCAAAACTTACCTATTGCTGGTATCCCCCATCCTGTCGCCAGAGCACCCCACATGAACGCCTTTCCTATCACCACCTGCCAGCATATCTGGAGATGCAGCGCCACGGCTCTTAAGAACACCCACATCACACCGCACCACCCCCCAGCAATTAAGAAGGCCCCGGAGAGCGCACATGGCTTGCTCGTGTTCATATCGTTTGGAGTAATCGCATTAAAGCATTGATTCGGATTCGCGCCGAGAGGAATAATGAAGCCCAGCTTTTAAGACAAATTAGCCTATACGATTGTTGACGCGGTTGGTACACTTACCTGCATAACCACAGTTGCAATAGCTAGACACACGCTTAAGTAGTGTCGATGTGTTTTGTGGATTGGAAGGATGGCAAAAGACACTATTAGGAACATCGAGCAGACTATTCCGACAACATTGATCCAATCGGCGGATTTGGTAATAGTAGCGAAGTTGTCCGGATACAGCCAATCTGCTTGGGGACATGGGAGACAGCATGATGGACCTAAAAGACTTGAACAGAATCTGCCATCAACAACTATATACCCGCGTCAGCTTGAATAAAGAAGGAAGACTATTTTTTTGACATACAACCACCCACAGACGGGAAAAGGTCTTCCTGGAGAAATGGGGTTGGACACAGTCCCTGGCCAGTAGCCTTTGTAGTATTGAGTTCCATTGCGTATAGGAATCTATGACAGCTGTACCATCGGTGAGGAACTCGATGCTATCACTGATTTACTGGAACAGCGCCGGTTATGATGGCTGTGACCCCGAGGAGAGTTTCGTATCTGTAGTCGAGCTGGACTGAAGTCAAACCTTCTTTGGATTGGGGTTTGATATAGGAGAACCGAGCAACGTCTGTTTCAACGCTACGGTAGGGAGTACTCAAGAGGCCATTGCCAGTTTGGGGTGACGTGTGTGAGCGAGATTTAAAGAACACAGGGAATGCCAAACGAGGAGCTGGGGAAGGCGATGATAATATTATTGAAAAGGCATGTATATAAGATTTCATGGGGAGAAAGCCACCAAAGGCGAGCATAAAGAGAACCCTCGTCTAGTGGAAGGGGCAACGGGTGTCAAGCGCGTGGGCGTACCTCCGTAGTTTGCCCACAACCAAAGAGAGGCGACGGAGGTACTACTATTGCATGAATCCAACAGCGACCCTTGGTATCGAGGGTCCATCGGGTCAGATCTCGGGCTGATTGGGGAGGGGTAAGTGGACTGCCCACTTGGGTTCGGGAATGAAGCAGAAGCAGAAGGCAGGTAGTATCTCATGGGGTATCCATCTAGGGCTGGGATACGGTTGGTTGGAAAAGCGGCATGGGCGCGGAACGCATACTGCTCAGGGGAATGGACAGGGAGGAGCTGCTGCTGAGCTCTAATGGAGGTACTCGGTACGGAATACGAAGTACAAAAGAGAGCGTTGACCGGCACCTCCTACCAGTGAGGTATTGATGCATGCATGAGGTTTTGTCGACAGGCAGGCCAAGACCTTAGGAAGGGGGGAGTGAGAGCTTCCGGGGTGTGCCGACATATGCCCCTGGCGCTTGCCCCTGTCCCTGCATACCTACCTACAGTCCCCCCCCCCCTCAGTAAAGAGCATTTGTGGGTCAAATCCCCACAATACGTAGAAATCTATAGAACTGAATGGCTATAGCCCTTGTAAATGGCCCGTGAAGGGTATCCGTAAGGTCCTTGTAAGGTCCCACTAAGCCCTAGGTGTATTGACATCATTGGCTTAGGCCCCTTGTAGAAATACCCACAAATGCTCTTTATTAAGGGGGGGGGAGGGTAGGTATAGACGCAGTGTGCACTGTGTGCCTGTGCCTGTCTGTGCCTGTGCCTGTCACCTCCTGTTGGTTGACTGGCTGGGATGGGGCTGACCAGTGGCATGAGCTTGACCACCTACAGTACTTCCTTCGTATGACGCCTCATGGCGATACTGCAGAAGCTCATAAGGCTGGAATTGGTGGAATATGGTACTTACCTGCCAGGTCCAAGGCCTATAGGTAGGTAGGTAGGTCAAGCTCGCGCCCATGTTGGCTTTGAAATTTGAAAGTAGCGCAGCGTCTGACTGTGACAAGCAGATGTTATTGAGCGCAGTACGGAGGTACTCCGACAGGCTTCGGAATGGAATGGGATGCTCCAATCACGACGGGTAAAGCTTGATAACGCAGCCGGTTCGCTGGTAGCAGGGCAAGCTATGGAGTACGGAGTACAGTGAGTGAGTGGTGTTTACCTAAGTAATTCCCATTTCCCTAGCTTTCAGGGGCCTGGTTGGTCAACCAAAAACTACCTATACGCACGACGCTGCATCCTCATCACTAGGCCCGCTAGTGACCTTTCGAAGTTCCGACTATTATACTGCCCCATGTACGAGTGACAAGCCGCTGGAGACTGGGACTGGCACACAAGGAACAAGGCACAAGGCGGCACTCATCCAAGGGTCTACTCTGCCTTACACGTTACTCGTAATTGGTGCCGCTTTTCCTACACGTCTCAATGCAAATCTCACCTCCATGCATGAAGCCCTAACCCCCACAAAGATAAATTTATAACATACCCACCTACCTACACAGGCACATACTGCAATATTTCCTTCACCCCTGATTCCCCGTAGATAAGTCGTGACACAGAACCAGATTCAGCGTCTCGTTGTTGCCCATCTTGCGTACCCCTATACAGTCCAGTCCAGTGCATTACACCCACCCTAGACGGCTGAGCTGCGATCGTTTTAGAGTACGGAGCTAGTGGATGATGGGCCGTTGCGATGTGATGAAGGGGCTAAGCCAAGGGCAAGAGAAGAGGCAGCCAAGGTCCAGATTATCTAGGTGCTTAGCGGTGGATCATATGAGACGCGTACCATACCTATACCTCAGACCTAGGTACTCCCTACTCTGCCCTACTCTACTCCAGATCTGCTCTTCCTGATGTTTGTTTCTTCCCCCATTAGTGCCTTCTATGAAATAAATCACCATTTGACCCCCCGCATAGTATAGTATCATACCTGACCAACAGACGCAATTTTGATCTTTCCCCTGTTATTTTAAGCGTCCACCTTTTTGCTTTGCTGGAACTGTTTGGTTAGCTACCTAAATCTTAGGTACAGTATATGCGGGACGAACGTCGGAGCTTTCTCCTCATCGGCTTGCAAGGTTTCGCCTACTGGTAGCTGAAAAGCAACGCACATGCCATGCCCGTTCAAATGGATTTGCAAATCTACTCGTACAGCCATCTAAAAGGAGGCGGCCACGATTCTTGCCGTCTCGATTCTTCTTGTCCTCAACCAAACTCTGCTATACAGTGCTGCTTTGACGTATACAAACAGCTGCTCCCGGTATCGAGCAAGCCCGTGGGTAGTCTCAAGAATGATAGTTAGAATACAAAGGTGCATGCTTTTATAACCTACCAAGACTCAATTCATTATATATCAAAGCTGCATCTGCATTGTATCCGTAAAAGCGTCGCCAATCCAAATTCGTCGTACCTTTACCGGTGAAAATCATGGTTCCGGCGTCACTTCCGTGAAGCTATGGACGCTCCCACATTACGCACAAGACACTACTAAGTCATTGAAGGTTTTATGCTTTCTGATTCCTGCTATAACTCTATACACCTTAAATCCCTATCTAGCTAGAATTCTTGGTACTTGAGGTTGGTGATTTTACAAAATCTCGACCAGCGTTCGGCACCAAACCGTTCCGAAGTACATGCACTCAACAGAATTCAGTACAAGATTCAACAGCCGATTTGTGCCTAGCAGGAACCTGTGGGGTTTCATGGGGAAGGCGATTCGTTCATCTGTGGATGGCTCCTTGTTGAATTGATGATATACTACCTAATGATACGGAAACTCGAGCTGTTATAGGGGCTTTCGAAACCAAAGCGGTTGGAAACCTTTCTTGATCTCCAGTTTTAAGATGTGTAATCTAATATTTAGATACCCCGCATGGCCCTAGGAAACCTTTCTGGATTTTCTCGCACAGACAATTAATAATAAGCGTGGTCCACCTGGCGATCTGATATCTTAAAAGCGTGTTGACTCCGACAAACCATGCTTGCAGATGCTTGATACTACCTTGTAAAATAACACCAACAAAATTCGGTGGCGACGTTACACAAAAATATAAAAATTGTAGTCTTTAGTGTTTTGGGAAACCCTCGGAATTTGGCTGGATCTATTACAGCAAAATTCAGGTATTAGATCTAAGCCTTGGGAGAGAGTGCTAGCCAGCAACATATCCTTGTGGTATATAACCTGCGATATGTCTAAACCACCTGCCATGCTGGAAGTCGTCCTTGCACAATAGACTCCTAGAGCCTCCTAACCTGTAGTTGTACGTTCACACTCCTCTCTATAACTTCTGGCCCCCATTATAATTCCCGTTGAGGTTTGTGGGCACTCGCGAAAAGAACCTTCCCCGGTCTCAAAGCCCCCTCCCCCACGCACATTACTTGCAGGAAAGTGCGTACGGACAATAATAGTACGGAGTACTATATAAAACGTAATTCCGTAGCTTCCAACGGGACCGTGAACCGGAGCAGAATCATTCCCCTGCTTGAGAATCCGGAGAACACAATCCATTTGGGATTTACGCCCGATCCGTGGCGTTCTTCTAGAGTGTCGCATTTTGCTACTGCAGGAGGTCCCCGCATTCATATTTTGCCGGTGGTATTCTTGTTCCAACAGAACGGAAGCAGCCATCAATTATCGAACCATCCGAATACGGAGTACTCAGCTTTTCACTCGTAAGCCGTGTTTCATCGTCTCACCGGACATATATCACCCTGATTTGGAAGAACCGTTCCTACATTGCACTGCATCCCGAATGAATGGAAGACGTACATATAGTAGATACGCGGCACAATCGTAGTTTCACTGAAGACGGAGATGGGAATGCACTCTCTGTGATTTTCCTTTCTTTCGATTTGTATTCAGTTTCAGCATGTGCGAGCTTTCTCCCCAGTTTCCCGGGGAGTGAGAAGCACCCTGTTAATAATATTAGCGTCAATTGTCAGCCCTTCAGTCCCAGGAGACCGGATATCGCAATTTTCGTCTTCTAGAACATGTCAAAGAGGGCGTGCAGCATATGAACCCTGCCCCTTTCTTCACCCGCGTGTCACCCTTGTGGGCTCGCGAGAAAGACGGGGTATGCGATCACAACGTAGCCCGTGTTTATGATTTTGTGGGCTCATGCTTATTCGTTGATTGGATGAAGGTTCTGCACGTGCGCAGAATGCAGCAAGCGCCGGTGGAGGGTACTATATTGGCAGTTGTGTACACGAGTGTTGCGTGGGAGGCTGTTTTGATGTATTTATGCGAGTTTCGTGGGATAAAAGGGAGATGAACACTCGGGATAGAGCTTTTGATGGACCGTTTCGGTGTCAAGGAGTAAATGCGCAGCCCAGCAGTACACCCTCTTTTCTTTTTTTCACGAGTACCGACAGCTATACTGCATAGATTTGCTCGCGAGGAGACACAAAGTGAAATCCTTTCAAAACAGTTGGTAGATGTAGTGATTCGAGGTAGTGACCGAAGCGAGCTAAGAAAGATGACCCGGAAGCATTTCTTTGATTAAACTAAACAGCTTCCAATGGTTGAGTCTCATGGGAAACTTTTCTGGAACAGAAAGATACTAAAGGGAAAGAGGGTGCTCCTATGATAAATGTGGTCAAACGGCCAAGTCCGACGCACGAAATCCTTCGAAGTTGGTCCTTCTTGCCACTATCATGAAGCGATACACCACTTCATTTTTTCCAGCCTCATGAATGAGGGATAGAAAGCCTAGTGTGTGGCAAGATCTCGGGTCATGTTTGTGGCTGCCTTGCTGCATATCTGAGCGTTCTGTTTGCTTGAATTATGCTGGGGATCTAGCGATTACCAGCTTTAAAAAGAAATGGCGCTGTTCGTTTGGCTTCTGGGGGGGATCCTCAAGTCAGGAGTGAAAGAAACGCGAGGAGCTTTTAATATAGATTTGGAAGGAAATTCTATGGACCTTGCTTTGTTTCGTTGAAATACAGACATTGCGAGACGAAGAGAACGAGTATGAGGCAAGAAGCCTTGGCCACTAATGAGAGCTTTGTAATGCATGTGTATCTCACCTACGCAGCTCCTACTCTTGTCACCTTTTACACTCCAAGTCGAAAATAATCCCAGTACTCCCCCTTCCCTCGGAAACTGGAACAATCGTTCTTTGGGTGGTCAAGTTCTTGTTTTGCATGAGACTTGCCACTCATATTCCAAGGCCCTAACCTTGCCCCATAACCTTGAAAGAGCATCAGTGGCAAGCACGAAGCTTCAGCAGTTCTAACATGGATGTTGCTCCCTCTAGACTTGACATAATCCATAGGTGCAACCATGTGCAGCAATTGCAGATATGGGAGGTCAGCTGTAGGCTGTGCTTATATCAGAGAGGGAGCGCCATTTTACCAAGGCTGCGCGGTTGAACTCAGTTAAACTTGAGGTCTGCTTGAGGATACTATCGGACTAGAACGTACAAATGTCTCCTAAGATGGACAACACAAAAAGAGTATTTGGTATTTGACCCGAGTGGCGGAATGTGCGGTCTTAACTTTATCTGTATAAATAAATCTGACTTTTGCCCGAGGCGTATGAAGGGGAGTATGAGGCTCGGGAACGTATTAGGAGTCATTATTCTTGTCTGGTGGATGGGGACGCGATACCTGATGAGGGACTGATTTTGCTCAGAAGGCAAATATAACCAACCTTATAGGAAAACGATGCTAATAAGGCTCGGGAGTGGACTCACATCACAATCTCAGCGACGACTTCCTGGCGGCTCTTAATATATTCACGATCGAGAGCTAAATAGAAAAGCATGAGAAATGCTCTCGGCATTCTCGCCATACCTGACATTACCGAAGTATAATATCTCGACGCCGTGTGAAACTATTTCCCTCTCGCATTCAACCTAATAGCCTACACCCGCAGGACCATGCACGCACGCAATGCCACAACAAAAGAGTATAAACAGCAATGACCCATCGTACCCGCCATATCACAAATCCTGATCCAATCCAATCACTTACTATTTATGCAAAAGTCATCTGAATCTCTTTCTCCGGCCCAAATTCATCCTCTTCCTCTGCCCAGGCATTAGGGTCAGGACAGATCGTCGGCATGGTTTGGCTACTCTTTAGCTCGGGCCTTGATTCCGATTTCTCGTCTTTCGCTGAATAGGCGGGTGATTGGGGAATGCTGTTGAAGGAAGGCGTCGCGGAAAGAGGCGCGGTAGGCTGTGAGCGAGGATTATATAAAGGCTCCGAGCCGAACGTCATTTGGATCTCATCCTCTTCGTCTTCTCGGTATTGGCTAGAGCGGCTTTGCATGCTGGATGGAGTGTTTATATCGAGGTTTCTGATAGCGGGAACGTCGGTACTACTTGACATTCGCGGTGGGGTGGGTATATGTGTGGACGCTGAAGGTGAAGGTCGGAAATCGTTGGTTTTGAGCGTGGTGGCTGCGTCGTAGCTTTTCGTCTCCCGCAGGGAGTTTCGCGGATTGGTCGAACCAGGAGAGGAAGCCAAATCCAGCTTCATTGGCGGTAGAGTTGACTTGAGTTCCTTAACTTCCATCTGCTCGCTCGCTAGCTCGGCACGAATAGCGTCAATATCGAATAGAACGCCATGGTTGTTTCCCTGCCCATCTTCAGTCCTTGATCCTGAATCCATGTCTCCCTTTGATTCTTCATATGTTTCCCATTCTTTCTTATTGACGACATCCTTCTTCTTTCTCCCAAAAAATCTGAATCTGCCCTTTGCTTCTTTCTCCTTTTCTTGTTTTTCGAACTCTTTCCGTGCTTCCTCAATCTCATTGATGAGTTCTCGGTGACGTTTTGCGTGGTCCTCTGGGTCCGGATCCTCGATTTCAGTGAACTCGTCGCTTTCCACTACCCACCCAACTTCTCTCAGTAGTCGAGGCATAGCACTCCGATATGACATGTGACCAGGAACAAATTCCGAGACATCAACATTTTCTAGACCTGGGATATCCTCCACTGGTGCAAGACCTGCCACACGGCTAATACCACCACTTGTTAAACGAAAGAGGTAGCCCAAGATCCAGTCATTCGTTGCATATCCATTAACAAACCTGCCAGCAGTGACAGATCTGGCTTTCATATACTCGTCTTTCTTAGCCACGACCGGCGAGCCGAATAAATATACATTTTGTACAAGCCCGTAGGCACCTTTTCTGGAAAGTTCCTTTAAACATGAAAAGATGACTCTTGACCCAAGAGAATATCCCACAAACGTAACGGGGCGGGTGCCTAGATTACGATCAATCAGGGAGTCGGCGAGAATGAGTCCTGCAGCATTTGCTCGGTCGAGCGAGACTGTCCAAGGATTGTCGATAAGGTACGCAAGTTTGGTCAAGACAACTGGCAGTTGTAGAGCAGCCATTAGACCGATTAATATAGTGCTGCCTAACACTTGTTGAAGACCTTGCGTTAAAGCCTGGAATGAAATTAACATGACAGAATTTCGACTTTTATAATGTACTCACCTCTGTGGCTAGAATATTGATAGTGTCTCCCATACTGGTAAGCATTTCAGGCTCCCAAAGCACAGAATAAATGTCGCCCATTATGGGGTCAATGGTACTATACGGTAGCCGTACATCATCGACCTTGCCCGTCATCCACCCCGAAACAGTAACGATCAAATTGACTCGCTTGTTGTTATGTAGGGGCCTATACTCGAATGTCTTGACAGCACCGGTTCTTCGATTCGCAGCTCTTACCGCAATGATGCCCCCAGAAGCAGCAGCCCCGGAAGTGATGATAGCAGCTCCTCCAGCACCAGCAAGAAACCCACCCGTACCGGCAACGCCAATGGTAGTGAAGCCAGCAGCCAGCCCCGCCCCAATCACCGGAGCTAGCAATCCAGCGGAAAGGCCGATGACTAGACTACCACCAACAGTTGCCAAACCCATCATCATATAGCGCTTCTTTAATGCGAGTTTTCGCCTGCTCTCCTTGTGCTCATCCTCGTTCCAGTTCTCCTTTTCTGCTGCTTGCTGCATCTCCAATGCATCCGTTACTCGTTTTTCGAACCTACAGATTTCCAGCCAGGAGACTTCCATGTTGTCCCCAACTTTTTCCAGTAGAACTCTGGATCGGGCGTCATAAATGGAATCAGATATGAGGGTGAGAAATAGATCACAAAGCACCGTCCACCGCAGATCAATGTCGATACTTTTAGTGGTTGGCAGCTGCGAAGGTGTCCGGACTTCAGGCAGATCTTCTCCCTCGTGTTCTTGATAAGGAGGCGGAACCGCAGCTGGATCATCATCTTCTTGTGGATGAGGAGACTTTGGAGTCTGAGGTAGGCTTGGTGAGGAGGTTGAAGGTCTAGGACTCGCTCCGAAAGAGGCTACTGAGTCGGGCCGAGAAGCTAAACTTGCTGTCGATGCGTCTTTTTCCGCCATGGGATTTTTCACTCGAGCGTTATGCATGAGGGTGGGAGTGAGATCCGTTGGGACGACACCATGCTCAGACAACTGCTCAATCATGATCTGTTCGGCCATGCTGATATCCATGTGGGCGTACAACCGGACCATCATCTTCTGACTCCACATTTTTAAAGCTTCAGCTGACATGTGGATTTCTTTCCTGTTGCCTTTTGTTGTTGCCATGGCTTCTGCATCTGCCAGCATTGCTGAGAGAATTAGTCGGGTCATGCCAACGTAGGCGATCCTTTGGCCTTCCGTTAACAGATCTTTGGTGGCTTGCATCTGTGAAAGGGCATCTCGCTGCTCTTCATCCTCTATCTCGCCTGCGCCAGTTTCCCCCCCATTGGTACCCTTGAAGAGATATTGAGTATTTTCATCTAGGCTCGTAGCAGATTGAGCATCCTCATCCAATTGCACTCTAGTATATCCTTTTCCAGCTCCTCCTAAGCCTTCATAAGCGGCGTTATCATCATCTGACAATTCTGCTTCTTTGGCAACGAGCCTGTTATCGTCATCATATATATCGTAAGGCGCGTATGCCGGCATCGTTTGCCACTCATCCACTTCTGGCTCCGGTAATTTATCCTCTCTTGGGGCTATTTGCTGATGTGACCATTCTGATATGCCTTGAGCTGTCGAGCTCTGGCCTCGAGTATGGCCGGTGCCTGGTGGTAAAGGGTGACCATTCGTTTTGTTCTCTGTATCGGGTTGCTGGACTGCCAATGCCTTTGTGTCTGTCTCGGTGGGAATTGGGGATACCTGGGTATCTTTCTCAAGCGGAGTTGGGATTTCCGTCACAGTCTCTTGAGGTAAGCCATCACGCTCTTCTTGTTGCACCATCGTACTCGATTGTAGTTCGGAATCGTGTTGTTGCACCTCTTCTCGAGTTATTGGTGGCTCAGTATTTGGAGTCGACAGAGCATCTTTGAATTGGTCATCTCCGTTGTCAGAATCCTCTTCATCTACTCCTCTCTGGAGACTGCCCGTCTCCTTCACTATTGCAGAAGCTCCATTGGGAGATGCACGCCCGGTCTGTAACAACATATCCCCCAAGCTGACATGATCGTCCCCTTCCGCCTTTGTTCTCTTCACCGGCAATCCAAAGTCATCAACCTCCGCGTCCTTGGTGGAGCTGTGCGGCGCATCATTCTTTGCGTGCCCATTCTTGGCCGCAGCTATATCAGGCTTCTCGACGGTGGTGGTAGCCCCTTCACTCTCCGGCATGTTGCTTGTCCAGGTCCAGGTCCAGGTCCAGGTCCAGGTCCTCGCCCACCGCTTCCTGAACGTCTACTATAAGCACCTCTTTGTTTCTTTCGCATCCAAAAAGTCGCAACTCAGGTCAACAAAGGCTATGATAGGGCCACAGCAAATTGATGATACGAGAATAAGATTTTGGCACTCCGGAGAAGACACATGCTGAAATATCAAATGGTGAGCTTGTTGAGTTGTGAGGTGGGTGGAGAGTTGAGTGCACTTGGATGATATTCTAGCGCTTTGACTGACGTTTAAAAAGAGTGGGGCGGGGGGGAGGAGGGCAGCGTGTAATAAACTTTGCGTGGCTGATGACTAAGTCTCTTGTCTTAAAAAAGGATACTCCGAGAAAATAGTATTCTATATATAGTAATGAAATGGTAATTTGATTTTGGTAAAAGTACCCAACTTGGATTGGCGTGCTGTTCTTGCCTGTGGAATGGATGGGTGTTGAATTGGAAGCCGTACAAAGAAAAAGCTTGTTCGTGTTCACCAGTACGAGAAGATTCCTGTCCTGTATGGCGAGCATGATGCAGTACGATATTGATTTCAAGGCAATACCACTGTTTCCGTTCATTACCCAGGGTATTTAACGCCGACTTTTGCTATAAGTGAACTCTGATGAACTTGCCCAACGCCATGAAACGACTTTTATTCTACTTCGAGCACAGGCTCTGCCTCGCCAGCCTCTTCCCCATTGGCGCCAGACTTGTGCTTCCGTCTTCTTTTCCGTTTGACTCCTGAGTCCGCATCTTTTTGCTCTGCAGACCCTTCACCTGGTGCTTCCATTTTGATATCCTCCCAACGAGTTGCGTCTTCTTCAGTTGACCTCTTCTTGGCCTTCTTCACAGACAGAGGATTTGGACCTTTCGGACCCTTGACTGTCTTCTTTCGGGGTTTACCACCTTCATCATGGCCTTCGACTTCCCCATTATCGTTGTCCTCCCTCTTTCTCTTCAAACTCCCACTTCCCCTCTTAAGACCGGCCCTAAATTTCCCGCGCTCTTCCCTGTCCCTGTTTTCAGACGTTGCTCCCGCCATAGGCTCCATAATCATTACACTTCTATTGATATATATCAGAGGCACACCCAGAACACCTCGCATGTGCTTTCTAACTTCTTGCTCCTGACTGGCTACCACATATCTGTGTTTATTCGTCTTACTGTCCTTGGGATCAACTACCGAGGCCAGACATTCTTTCGCGCTGAGCGGGGTGGGGTGGTCGTCTGGATGGTGGCCGCATCGTCGTCGTTCGTAGGTCTTTGCTTTGTCGATAAGATATGAGACGCCTGGTTCAGTGGCAGCGGCGTAGAGGTGTCGCATCGAGCATTGCGTTATCACTGAGCCTGTTTAGCCGTTAGTTGTCACAATGAGAGTTGAAGATGCTTACTCGGCTTGACTTGGCCATGAAGGGTTCGCTCTAGCCCCCCCACGAGGTCCATCTTGAATTTGTCTGCATCTCTGAGAATATCTGCATCGACTGGTGGAATATGTTAGCAGTGCTAAAAAAGAGGATATTGCGAAGCTCAAAGCCTACCGAGCACTTGGTATGGTTCGCGGAATCCAAAATTCAGCCCATACTGCTGCATGAGCTTCCTATATTGCTTTGACCGTTTCCCCCTCATGTTGGTGTAATGTCTGGATCCAGAACGGTAGTTTGGGGCACAGGGAGACGTAGATGTAGATGTTCTGGTGGTGGTCGCAAAAAGTATGTTGGAAGTAAAGTTCGAAATTTAAGCTTTCTTATCTTATCAATACTGTACGAGTAGCGTGAAAATCTAGCGCCAGAACTTTTATACAGTACTGTATGTATATCTTCGCCAACTCACTTCACTGCACTTCACTTCATTCTAATTTAGTTTCAAGCCTTTTAGATACATGCCATGGCTAGCTAAAAACCCGTAGGTCTATTACCAATAAATAGATAGACATACAGTACCATTCTCGTAATGTCTGGCCTTGCTATGCCTGAAACGGCGTGCTTCAGAGCCTCAACGGTAATTTTGAAACAGATGTCGAATCTGACTTGACGTGGTTCATCCCAATACTCTGGGCTTCAGTGGCTATTGAATCTGCTCTTCGCCCTCTCTGATGGCAGTTCTGCTGTAGCCCTTTGATGGTTTACGGTCCAATCCGGGCAGTACTGACTTAACTGGCGGGTTTTCTATTTCGCCTTATCTGGCTAAGCAAAACCTCATGTTCAACCTTTGTTGCGTTTGCAAAGGGCTGCTACGACGCTAATATCATCGAGTTTGCCTTAATAGTGTCAGCTAATTACCATGTCATGTATCCACGAGTGTCTCACCTCCTTCCATGGCCAGACCCTCCTCCACTGCATGTTCCATAAATGGGCTTTCTGCGAATGGATCTGTAGCTATGATCTTGGCTGCTTTCATCAACTCTTCCGCAACGAATTTCATACCTCCACCAGCACCACCGCATCGATCTCCGCTGCTCTCACCACCTTGTCCCTCTTCCCATTTTCGTATGCTGCTAACAACACTCTGTATGATCTCATGATCCCATAGGTTGTCTATAACCCCATCCGACATGGCTAGAACCACATCATTCTCCTCTATTTCAATTTTGTCTAAAACTGCGTTCTCTCGGGGAGTATCGGGACTATTGGTGCCCAATTGAAGTGGGCAATCGAACCAATGCCATTGCGGTAAAGTTTTGTATACGAGTTTGGAGTGTCTGGGTCTGAGGACAAGGACTTGCGAATCACCAAGATTGGTGACATATAACAATGGAGTGGCCGGTGCATTCGGATCATCATCAACGTGCTGGAAATGCAATTGAGCACCCGCTGCTGTGGTTGTTCCTTGCCACTTGTTTGGTTTCGAGGTTGCTTCTATCGTAGCTTGGTACGCTTTCTGGAGACAATCGACAGGATTGGGCTCGTACTTTTGCCCCGGAGGCCGTACTCGATTCGCATCCTGCTCTATCTCCACGGCCCAGAAGTGTAATACCAACCGAGACCAAAGTCTACATAATCTTAGTCAAATGGACAGTGAAAACGAGGACGAGACAAACCCGGCATGTCCTCCCGGGCGTGTAGACCACGCACCAACTCCATCATTTGCGCCAATGAATTGGTCACTGACATATACTGCGTCATCCCCATTCGTATAGCCTCGAATTAGTTCTCCGTTGACAAGTGGGCGCCTATTCCGGCTCCTGTGATGTGTACTAAGAGGGTCCGAAAAAGATCCCGAGGGTGGAGAAAGAAATGGCGGGGGGAAAGGCCTCGGGGCGCGTTTGGCATATAGAGAGATGGCGGTTTCGAATCGAAAAGGCGGGAGTTCCTTGGGCAAAGGTGGTCTGTCTGGGTCGGGACTCGAGGAGGTTGTAACGGATGGCAACTCAGGCCGATGTGTCGGAAGGCTGTTGTGAAGGAAAGAAGAGGACGAGGAGGACGAGGAGGAAGAAGAAGAAGAAGAATTGCGTGACTGATGGTGTATGGCTCGCGCAACTTGTGTTGGAAGAAACGTCCTCCTCATCCCAGCGTCGTGGATGAGACGTGATGATTTCAAGACTGCACCATGAAGCAGCTGGTGTGATGTTGTGGACAGGACAGGATAGATGATTGCGGGTTTAACTTTTAGATAAGACAAGAGGGTGGGGTGGGGTGAGAAGAATCAATTGCCCTTCTGGGACGGGAGGCTTGAACTAGAGGACTTGGTTGAAATCAAATCGATTTAATAATCCAAGAAGACTCTCTGTACTCTCAGAAAGATGAGGAGGCTGCTTATATTGTAACTTGGGGATCCCGATACTCGGCTGGGTGTTCTGGTTCAGGCAACTTCATCTCATTCCAAGCTTACATGACAGTATTATAATTATTACTTACTATTACCCGGTGGTTGGATAACCCTTCCATTCCGTACCGGACCGTACCACCGTACCTCGACTTATATTGGATGAAAATATGCATCATCAAATACGGTCCTAAGTAGGAGTAGGATTTTTGGATTTAACCTTACATCAAAAAGTACCTACAGGTACTTAGGGCTTGCTTCTCGTATTGTCCCTGTCATCATGTCCCTCTTAGCTCTTAGTGATGCCCTAAAACGTCTAAGGTGACGTACCGTGCAGCGCTATACAATTGCCTACTCCGTAGTACCATACAAGTACCGTAATGCCCTCGTCCTCTCTTGCCATCATTAATCATTCAAACATCATTCACTCGTTCCTCAACCAAGACCCCCCCTTCCCGACCTCTCACATCTTCGCCGCCGCCCTCGTCAGATCGTCTGCATCTGCGTCTTCCTCTTCCTCTTCCTCTTCCTCTTCCTCTCCTCCTTCGTTTGTTGTCTTGCAAAAAGACATTTTCGCCGCTTCGTCCGATACCCCCGGGGCCACCAGACCACACCGTCACCGTAACAAAAACCCGACTGCTTTGACAGTGTGCCTATCCGGATCGCGCGGACTTGGAACTTCAGCAATACCACTTTTTTCGTTATGACATATCCTGAAGGTCCCAAAATGGGGACTCGTAACAGAGGTAAGCTGCCATGCGATGCGATACCTGAATAAATGCTAATGCTTGTATCTATCTAGTGCTCTCTTTCATGTCCAGTTTCTCCAATCGAGACTCAAGCTCTCCGGCATCAGCGGCGCCCCTCAAGACGAGACAAGATTCCTTCAAATATGAACCCCCGAGGCAGGAGCTTTCAAAGGACTCGGTGGCGACAGGCGCTTCTACAGTCCACTCATATAACATGGATAACAGCTCCCCCCAACCAAGAGTCCAGCGAGAGCGAGCTTCATCAAGGCCCATGTCTATGGTGCAGACATACCAGCCTCCTCTGATGGACGTGTCCCAGGATACCTTGCCTGAGTTGCAACCCATCTTCACATTTCTGAATAGCCATGCAAACAAGCTGTATCAAGAGGGCTACTTCTTGAAACTAGACGATCAAAATACACGTGAGCTTATGCTACCACATTCCCTGGTCTGATTTCTAACTTTTCTAGATGGCAGAGCGAATGCGGATCGGACTTGGACAGAATGCTTTGCACAGCTTGTTGGGACAGTTCTCTCCTTGTGGGACGCTGCAGACTTAGATGCAGCAGGTCAAGATGGAGAAGTCCTCCCTAAATTCATCAATTTGACGGATGCATCAATTAAAATGGTAAATCAGTCCCGAAAATCAAATGAGGATTTCCTTTTGACCTAAAAATGTTAGATTGAATCACTCCCTACACGATCAGACAATGAGGCCCCTTTGCAAAATGTCCTCAGTGTTTCTACTGCTGGGAAGAACCGATATCTCCTGCACTTCAACTCGCATCATTCTTTAGTCCAATGGACTGCAGGAATCCGACTAGCAATGTATGAGCACACCACCTTGCAGGAGGCTTATACTGGCGCGCTGATTGCTGGAAAAGGCAAAGCTTTGAATAACATCAACGTCATAATGGAACGCTCGAAGCTTAGATCGGAGGACTGGGCAAGGGTAAGATTCGGTGCTGGGACCCCGTGGCGCCGCTGTTGGTGTGTTATCACACCACCAGATGAAAAAGAGATACAGAAAATACAGAAACAGGTCAACAAGAAGAAGTCGGCGTATGATCGGTCAAGGTCTCCTATTCTTAAGGGGGATATTAAGTTTTATGACACGAGGAAGACGAAGAAGGTCCGACCAATTGCTACAATTACGGAAGCGTACTCGGCTTTCGCCATCTACCCACAATCGAAGCCGCTTATAGATGCTTCGACTCTGGTCAAAGTTGAGGGATCGATAACAATTCATTCAAACCCCCCTTCAACAACAGAGGGGTTCGTCTTTGTTATGCCGGAAGTCCATCCTGCTGTAAGCGGGTTTGAGATGATGCTGCGCTGGCTTTTTCCCGTATTTGATACTTTCGCTTTGTATGGGCGGCCAGGTCGATTGATAGCCGATACGTCAGATCCTCAGAGTCTAATGTTTGCAATGCCTAAACATCGTCGATATGGTTACCTAGAGATATTAGATGTAACGGGGCTCATTGTTGAACAAGGGAGCGCTAACTGGAGAGAGTCTGACTGGAGACGGAAATTGAAGGAACTTACCAAGAAGCGAATGACAGCCATAGAAAATGGTAGTGGAACGAACAGCAGGTATAGCAGTCGAAAAAGCACCCGAAACAGTTACGGCCCATCTCGAAGTCGGATTCAGTTCGATGATGCAGCCTCGGTCAAATCTTCCCCTTCAGCTAGCTGGGGTCAAGCTCCTGGTATAGATGGACCGTTTGGCGGGGTCCCGCGAACTGATTCTGCTCCCGCAGGAGTGGCCTTTGCACCCCAAAAGCAAAACTCCTTAGTACATCATCGATCTGTATCCGAAACTCACGACTTGGACCGCTATCAAGGCCAATCTTCCCACTATGATGGCGTGCATGACCAACCTCCTCCTCCCCCACCACACAGTGTTAGTATCTCTGGGCGCGAAGGGTCTGGTCTGCGATATAAGAGTGAAATGGCTTCGACCCCTGAGCGTGTCAGTTTGGAAGACGATCAAGCTGCCCGAGCAACGCCCGTTCGAGAGCTCCAAGAGTTGCAGGCCACAACGTCTCCCGAACCGGTTTCCGCCCCACCAGCATTTTTGCACGCTCCAGGCTCCATGCCAGCGAGCAAGCCTTACGATTCGCCAGAGCTGCGCAAGGCTAACAGCCGGATGTCCAACGCAACTCTTTCTCAACTAGCAGGTGCCGGTGGCGTTGCAGCCGCGTATCATGGAGAATCAAGAACAAGTGAAGATCAAAGACACCAGAGCGTGGGTCAAGTCTCGGAGGAAAGGGGTCAGAGAGGGGTACCGTCAGACGCCAACATATATGAGTATCGTGCTAACCAAGGCGGTCTCAATGAAGGCTTGGTAGTACCATTAAAATCCCGTTTCTCTTTCGAAAATTCTTCTTCTTCGCGGTCCTTAGATTTCGATTCTCAAACAAATCATTCTCAACAGCCTACGCAGTATCCGCCTACTTTCTCGAAAAACATCCCTTCAAATTCCCGAATTACTACTGGCCCCATGCCCCCACCACCTGACAACAGAGGCAATGCACCCAACTCTCGTACGTATCAACCGCCTCAAATTTTCTCTTCTCCAGACTCGGAAAACCAAATCCTTCCATCCCAACAGGGTCACTTTCCACAGCAGTCCGCAGACTTAACTGCTAGTACAATTCCTCAACCTTCTCGAATTCAGACTAGCCAAAGTATTATCCGCAAACCTCTTCCATTGCGAAAAGAGAGCTTCCCAGCTCCTAGTCCTGTCGAAACAGCTTCAAGTGCAGGGAGTTTCGCACGACATGTCATCGATCAAGCTGCTTTTGATATGATCGGTCGACGTGAAACGCTCCACCCAGGATCTCTAGTGCACAGACAAAAGAGTGGTGCGAGCAGCTTTTACGAAGATACAGCCTCAACGGACTCCCCAGATTATGCCAGCACGGCAAGACCTTCTATTGATACCCAGAAATCGGTCGAAAAACCACGAGCTGGGATAAAGAAGACAGTTGGAGACCCAGAAGCTGGAATGCCACAATCAGGTGATATTCGCTCATCAATTCATATCGACTTTGGCCCGACTCTGAATTATGCCTCGGACCGTCTGCCACAACAGCAAAGCCCCGGCCCAGCTCAAATGTACGGAAATGATGGCCCACGATATGGCAGTCCTACGAGGGGTATTAGTCCTGGTCCTGGAATGAACCATCCTGCAGAGAAAGCCCCACAGCGCCGGAGTCCAAGACCTGACAGTCCCGGCCAGTCTACACCACCTAACCGTAATGTAAACACACCTGAACATTCACATTACCGCAATGTTTCAGCCGAAAGCAGGACTTTGGCGTGGCAGCCTAGTATGGCTACGGTCATAGGTGCAAACTCCTCAATACAGCAGCATGGCATCACCCCCGAGCAATTTGTACAGCAACGAGCGGCGGCAGCAACAACACCTTTGTATGCACACCAGCGTCAACAGTCTGGTAAAACACTTGGTCGCAATACACCTACTCCCCCTCTGGTCAGAAATCGTTCCAGTGAGCTTCTGGTTCAGCAAGGACATTCCCGCAACTCTTCTGCTGACCTTCTCCAACGTCCCAGCTCTCGAGGAGCTTCCATAGCTCTTGGACTCTCTGGATCTGGTGACATTGTATCGAAGTTATCAGCACGGGAGCAAGAACACCTTGCTAGGGTAACAGGCCAGCCCTTGATCAATATGGCTCAAAACAACAATCGACAAGCAGCGCCTGGGAGTGGGCTGGTTGGTACTATATCTGCTCGAGAACAGGAAAAGCAACAAATGAAACAAGGCATCAACAGTCAGGCTGTGCAGCAAGCGATCGCTCAGCGCCAGCAACAAGCCATGTATCAGCAATGCCCCGAACAGATGGCAGGAGGACAGCGCCTATCGCAATATGGTAACATGCCTCAATACCCACAACCCCAGTATTCTATTCAACACCAAGGCCAACAAGCTTGGGTATCGCCAGCACCGAATGTTTTCGCTCAAGGAGGAGGCTGGGCTACTCCATCTCCAGGATATGCTGCTCCTGATCAGGGGAGGCAATCTCCATCCTTCTATCCAGCACAGCAACAGTACTTTCCACCACAGCAACAAGGAGGTCGCGGGAGGGGTAATTCGGGAGGCTATCATGGACACGGCTTTTAGACATCACGCAAGCATGGCTAGGCGTTTTTTTTATAGAGATATGCGGGCTAATCATTTGGGAAGTGGGGGTTTTTGTAAAGCGATCATTCCAGGAGTTTGTGTTTCAGGGCGCAATTTTTTTTTTTGTTTTGACACGATGGCATGGCTTGCAGTTTTGGCGATGTATAGGATCAGCATCAGGATCGGAAAGAATGAAAGCATTATTCTCGGCGTCTTGACTCCTAAACTAAGACCACAAAGTCGTTCGAATATTTGACTATTTACTATTGTCCGTAATATGATACATTTCAAAGTCTCCCCACTGTCGTTGTGACATGCAAATATATACACGCTAAGCCCAACCGTTTAATAAATAACAACCCCAGATAACGCCACCCAGAATACTATCGAAGCGGGCCCCGCCTCTCCGCCTCTGCTATCGCCGCGTCGATCCTCCGCTCTTCCTCCTCTTCTCGCCGCACCTCCTCTAGCCTCCGTGCCTCCTCCTCGCTCGTGACATAACTATGGCTATCTTCGTTCTCCAATGAGCCCATAAACCCACCCGGTGCTGGGAAATTTGGTATGCCATGGTATCCTAAGAAGCTCTGACGTTGGCCACTACTCGATGCTCCCGCTGGTGCATCTATCGTTCTCTCGCTGCGGTGGCTTATAACTCTCCCCAACGTATCGCTGTCTGCAGAGTTGGTCTTGCTCCTCGGTACCGATGCTGCTATGCCAGAATACGGTTGTGAGGGTAGCGTCTCGTATGGTGAGAGCGCCGAGTGGCGCGTTACGGGTAGCACTGGCAGGATAGGCGGTCCGCTGTCGGTGTCGTTGTCGTCGCGCAGAGGGGAACCCGACGAGCTTTCCTTTTCTGTCATAAGGTCCCGACTGTCATTTAGACCAGACCGGGTAAGCATGACTTGTTCGGAGCTGGATGCGGACCGCTTTGCGTGGCGCCTACGGAGGCAGAATAGCGCAAGGAGAAGGAGGATGATCACGAATGCGGCAGCTCCCAGAGCAATCCCAATTTTGGCACCTAGACTAAGACCACCTTTGGATGAGGAGGAGGATGAGGATGAGGTTGCATCTCCGGCTGATGAGCCTGTTGCTGCTGGCGAGATGGTTGTGGTGCCGGTAGGTAGTAAAGACCGGGTCGTGAAGGAGGTACTGATCGAACTAGTAGTAGAACTGGATGTGTCCAATGACAAGGTTGTCGGTGCCTGTGCTATTACTGATTGTGATCCAATAGTTCCTGTTGGTGCCAGGGTAATCAAAGCACCTGAAGGTGCATTTTGGAGAGTGATAGGTGTTGAGAGGGAAGTGAAAGAAGCCGCGCTGCTAGCCACAGCATTTGGACCATGGTCGGCGATGTTGAAGACTTCGCTGTAAACTCCACAGGTATTGTCGTTACTGGTAGTGAGGCAGAAGAAAAAGTTGCTCAGACCGCTTGGATCTGTTCCGTCGATCTTGAAGCTCACCGTGTTGACAACGTTCGGTGCGCTGGATGTGAAAGGATTTGGGCAAGTTCCTCCCGGGCCGCAGAGCTCTTTGGTATGTTAGCCTCTTCATTGTGAAATGCGGGTGTTCATGAGTAGTCTTACTTGCCAACTCAGTGATTTTGAACGCAGTCGTCCCATCAAGCGTCTGACAGAGAAGAAGGGACGTCTCTTTGAGATCTCCCAACGCGACTGAGACGTTTGCATTACTGCCCAATGATATTTGACCAACAGGGCTAACTGTAGCACCGATTCCTTGAGACTGAGAGAAGACTCCTTGGATGCCAGACATAACACCCGTAGCCAAGAGGCTATATTTTGCGATGCGCATTGTTTCCAGAGACGACGTCCATAAAAAAGAACAGTACGAGTCGATGTAAACAAACAGCCTTCCCTTTCCCTTTCCTTTCCTTTTCTTTTCTTTCCAGCACGGAACCTCCAAACTTACTTCAGAGTCGCAAAAACAGAAACAGGGAGAAGTCGAAAAAGAAGCCTCCGCTTACATTCGGTGGGGGTGAGCCAGCATTAATACAGTACAGTACAGTAGGGTACGGTACTAAGCTGAAGGATTCTGACATTTTACTTAAATTTACGATGGAAATGGGGTGGAATGGTACGGAAGACCAACAGTGTTACAACAGTGTTGCTGCATTCGTTCCCTGGGCAAGCCGAGCTGCGCCCCATTCTAAGGAACGTTGGTCAAGGCGCACGCAACGAAGCAACGAATCAACCAATCTTCTCAGCACCAGAGGGCTAAAAGGGAATGCTACCAATAGTCTGCTCTGCGGCACAATAAACATAGCGGCCAACTGTTGCCGGGCCTTGGTTTGGCTTGCCATACCATGCCATGCCATGCATGCATACCTCCCCTCCCTTGATGCTGAATGCTATAGGTCACCAGTGAGCGCAGGGTTATTATTATTAGGGTAGCGATGAATGAGGAATACAAATGATAGAAAAAGGTCATTCGGTGCACATCAATCAGTACGTACTCTCTCTGTACTGTACGGCGAAGAGAAGAGAAAAGTACTCCACTCCGTACAGTACAGTAGCCGAAGGATGCAGTCTACTGCTGCATAGCGTCGTAGTGCATGTCGCTTTCGGGAAGGCGCGAAGAGGCGCTCCCAAAGCTGGGACCTATGAGGGGGATCACTCCAGTTTTGAAGGACCGTAATTGGCTGTTTGGCCGCACCACCATCGACGCTGCTATTTTGGGAAACATGCTGAAGCAAGCATACTCCGTAGAATTGAGGCTGAAATAGCGCGCTTCCTACGCCTCCGCTCTTTTCGGCAGCAAACTGTCCATCATTTCACGTCATATATATCATATCCATTGGCCTGGTGAGCGAGGGCAAGTTTGGGGAAGAAAAAAGAGATGCTTCGTAAAAATAATATTTCGCATTCTACTTCCTCATTACCCCAAGCCTCCGAAGCGACTTTCTTCGCAATGGTCATGCCTTGCTGGACAGTGAGGGTACCCAAGTGATAGTCCTGGTGGATAAACAAGTTACTGTTGTTTTCAGTAGATATAATGCCCTATCCATGTCATGCTCCGTTACCAAACGCCGTCATTCATAAACTCATGATATATTAGTCCCCGTGTTACACTTAGCCACCAACAGTAATCTCTGCAGTCGGGTCTTTCCTAATGTCCAGCTCCATCAGTCCCTCTTGTTTCTCAATCACAAGACCCTTTTCATTTGCCAAGTGCAATAAGCAGATGAAGCAATAGCTCGTCGAAATGTCGTCCATTGCTTGTTTTGGGTAGACGCCCTGCAAGTTCTGCATGACCGAGGTGAATTTAAGACTGTCATCGGTTCCCTTCTTAGATTCCATAGGCGGTGTTGGTCTCGACGGTGTCGGCGGAGGCAGGTCCTTCACTATGTTAGTAATTATGCATTCTTTGACCCAAGCATAACCTACAGATTCAAGATCTTCGAGGCCAATACCTCTCCAAAGCTCTTCCTTCAGTCTCCTAACGTCAACCTTCTTCGCAACCCGAGCATACTGCATGTATTCTGGTCTCAGTCTTCGACTTTGGGTGACAAGCTGAGTACCAAAGGCGCCTTCGCCTTCCGTGCTTTGGGTCATACCGCCATTTAACACATTATGAATGCCGTCGATACCGCGGTCGCCCCTCTCTTCAGCGCCAGGGGAGAAGTGATCTCGAGCGTCAGCAAACTCCATGTCATCATCGTCATCCATGCCACCTGCCATCGGCAAATCATCGTCTTGGAAGAAATTGGCATCGTAGTCGCCTTGTACCGCAGCCTCATCCCCAACACCAGCGGGTCCCTCTTTGCCAGCCCAAAATGCCTCATCCATTTCGCCCTCGGGGGTTTCATCTTCCTTAGGTTGACTAAAAGTGCCAATTTTCGCGCCCAATCCAGATTTCCGGCCTCCCATCCTAGCCTTTGGTTTGAGGAATAGTCGCAGGAGCTGCTTTGAATTGAAGTGCTTGTCGTCAGGAAGTAGATTTCTTGTCTTAGACTTCCAATCCTTCTTTGGGAGAGAAATGACGGTATTGGATGAAGCTGGGGTGTAGATTGTCTCTGCAAGACTGGCGCCTAGAGGAGCCATGAAGTCAATCTCAAAAGGCTCTTTCTCTTTTCGTGCCTTAGTAGCCGAGGTTGGCTTGTTGATATCCTTGATCTTTCGAATGCGCCAATGTTCAGGTCCTGCCCAGTTCTTCTGCAGTGCTTCATCGAAATAGCTCAATATATCATCGTGGCCACCCTGGGTTTTAGCTCCACGGTCCAACGATACAACATACTCGCCGGTCTCAGGGTCGAAAACACCGGCACCCATGCCATCACCATCTTCGCCATCGCCTCCCATCCCGTCATTATCGAATCCGGCATCATGGACACGCATTCGGGTTTCGATCGCAGCGTCGCGTGCCCATGCCTCGCCACCCTTTCCAAACCCAGTGTCGGCTGGTATATCAAAATTACCCAGCAGTCCGTCATCGTCGTCTTCGAACCCAGCTGGATTATCATCGTCCAGGAAAATGCCAGTTTTATTGCCAATGGGGTCTTCCTCGGAGGGCTTGTCCTTCTCCTGTCGCCAGTCCTCTGGGGCTTTCAAGAATGGGATGTCCATTGATCCAGAAGGGTCGCCTAAATCGAAATTCTTCAGGGACGGACAAATATCCTGCTCCTCCAGACGGTCTAGATTGGGGAAGAATTTCGCACCAAGTGCTCCGATATCAATCTCGACATCCTGCTCGTCTTCTTCGGGCTCTTTAACAATTGTATCGATCATCGAATCGGGTTCAATTTCGTCCTCTTCTTGTATAGCGTCGTCTTTTCGTCTTGTGGCCTCGCCTTCGCCTGATGCGTCCCCGGCATCATCGCTACTATCGAATACAATACGTCCTTGTGAATCGATAGCAAGATGGTTCAGAAGTAAGCCTTTCGCTCCACCTTCGTCGAAGTCTGCGGACGCTTTCTTGAACAGAGGATCGACGGAGAATTCAAGCTCAAATTTTTTCAGTTGGAGAGCTGCGAAAGAGCTTGCCAATGTAGCTTCAGATGAGCGCTGTGTCTGTTTGCCATTAGCAGAGGCCGAATAGTCTATGAGCTGGTTGTAGTTGATCAAAACACAAAAGGGACCAAAACAATTGTGAACACATTTGAAAATGTTAATACCGTTATGAGTATCAATCAATGGCAAAGGCTCGCTAGAAAGAAAGAAAACATCTGCAAAGCCAGTATAGAAGGAAGTAGCACCCAGCTCTCCGCCAAAAGCAACTACAAAACAAGATTGTAAGAAGTGCATGTCTGTATCTGACCCAGCGAGAAAAGGACGGAACAGAATTGGGCAAAACTCAGCATTAATTTGGGGGTGAAATCCGTGTTTCCAGGTTAAGTCCCGCCACCAAAAGTAAACATGTTCACTCACTAGCACTAAAAAGTGGCAACTATGCACACCCCACCTCGCATATCGCAAAAAAA